ACGCCTGCGTAAAGCCCGCTGGGCTGGCTTCCCGGTCGGGCTCCCAGGCAGCTTTCTATCAAACCACCCTGAAGGAACTGGTATTTTAATTATTTAATTTTTTTTCCATGCTGTATCTACAGTCTGTTCTCAGAAGGAACCTCCAAGATTTTTTTTTCTGTCCTAGGCAGGCAGAGCCAGGCTGTGCTCCGGGGTGACCCACACCCAGGTACAAGTGGAGCTGAAACTTTATGTACTTCATTTGCTTTGCTAAAAAAGCACCTGCCGTGCCACCCATGGCAGACACCTGCTGCACAGCTCAGCTTGACATTTGGCTGCCTCTAGTCATGTCAAGTTCCTTGTTAATTTCCATCAAAAGCCATAAAAGCCATAAACCATGACAATCTCCATGCTTCAATTAAAAAAAAAATGCTGAAACACATGGCCCCTTGGTATTCTACGTCTTCTACAGCCCTCTGAGGAGACTTGGCTGTACTCCCAGGCACAGCAGTTAAGCCATTTAACCCCATTTCTCTCTCTATAATGCAGGGGCAGTGATGTTTACATATTTAATAGTGTGCAAACCTAAGTTTTCAATGATCTCCCTCTCTCTTTCCTTACCTGCAAAGAGATTATTGAGAGGGGTGCTCTCAGAAATATAATTTTCACATCTAGTATGTTATTTGGCCTTTTAAATAAAAAGAGTGTATTGAATATTTCATTTCTCTACAGCTTTTAGATGAACTTCTATATTTTACCCACCTCCTCGTATTAAAGCCAGCTGCTTTCCATAGACTCAGCAGCTCTTCACTCCCTATAACGCTGAGGGCTTAATTCAATTGTCTTTGTACAACAAAAAAATTTTTACGTTTTCTGTTCAGTAAACGCTCTTACCCTTATAATTTCAAAGTCTCCTGCGGCAAACTAGCGTTATCCAATGAACATCTGAAGCTATTCCACAGCACCAGTCTACATTTAGATCAAGTTCATTTAATTTATGACTGAAATCACACGGTTCTTTAAAACATTGATTTAAATTAGGAATAGGAGATTGAATAACTAAGTTGAAAAGGTACGTTGTTGCAATTTTGTTGGATGTTTTAAAATAAACTTGGTAATAAAATGCTGTTTTTTAAAGTGACACACAATTTCTCAGCCATTGTTATAGGCAAAAAAAAAAAAAAAACCCTCAAATACTGACAAGTACAACTCTCATCCTTAACCATAAGTGCCCAACCACATTATTATGTAGTTATTTGCCCCAAAAACGCAAATAAAGTAGCATGATTGCTGACCTGTGTGGCCTGTGGGAAACTGTTTACAGGTTACGTGAACAAGATGTTTGTTACAATAGAGATTAAAGTTTTACGTTATCGTATGCTAAGCTTAATTTAAATTCTAAAGTTTAAAAATGGTTTCAGTAGTCAATTCAGCATTAAATAGCAAATCAACCCATGTTTAGTACATCTGCTGCTTCAGGGTATGAACACAAATCTCCTACCACAGAAGACTGAAACCTAACCATTGCTGCCAATTCTGGTTGTGCTGTTTCATTTACTGTAAATGACTATTCACTAGCCCAAACTAGTAGACTAATGTCAGTGGTTCACTGGGGGCGTGGGGTATGCTCAAGGCTTTGGATTAAATCAGGTAGAGCAGAGTCAATGTGTTTGAATATGGGAAGGTGTTTTGTATGTCTTCCTTTCCCTCAGAAAATGGAGATCAAAGGTGCATATTTATGGAGAGAAGAAACAACCCACACTTTTCTATTCTAGGGAATTGCTTCAAAACCAAAACCATCCCATGGAATGGATGTCTATGATGTCTAAATAATTTATTTCTCAACCTTTCTGAGCATCTACAAAGAGTGAAAAGGTGCTTGCAGGGGAAAAAAAAACAACTCAGCCCAAAATAGACTGAAAGGTTCTTGAAGGAAGGACCTCTATTATTTTCCACACGTACCTGCAAAGAAAGATGTATACTTACAGATTTGTTTAAGTATTTTTTTTAATCCCTGTTACTCTGTAAACATGTTTAACTTTTTCAGCTATTCTTTCTCTCAGATATATAAAGTGTTCCTTCTAGAGGCTATTTGAATAACAGTAAGCATTTCATATATTATTGACAGAGACCTCCCTGACAAAAATATTACAGATGGGGAGAGACAGAGACAACTGTGTAGGTCTGAAAAAAGAAAGCTACTTCAAATCTGTTCCAAGGTAAGGGGAAATAGTTTAAGCTTGGTAACACTTATTAAGAAAAATCTAGTTACCTAATTACATAACTTAAACAGCTTTCTCCATATAAAGTGATCACTGATTTCTATGCAAATGAGCAGTCTCATGTTATCATTTGGAGATGTAAACAACTTCTAAATTTCCACAACCAATTTGCTTTAAGATTCAAAGAAAAAGTTCAGTTTCTCTTGGTTTTATTACTCACAATTTATCTAGACTATTTGGTTCCAAAAGCAAGCCTCTCTTGTGCAAACTTGTTTTCACCTCACCCTCTCCTTTCACAAGTGACTTAATTTCTTCTGAAAGAACATGAGACAGCTCCCAAATTCAGAAGGTGAATGAGACAAAAAGATTCTGGCCCAGGAATGTTCTCAACGTTTCTACTTCAAAAGACATTATAAATAATAGATTTATGAGTTTAGTCACATATGTCAAAGCAATGATTCAGCAATAATAAAAAAAAAAAGAGCTACTTATCATATGTCTCCTTACCATTACAAAGTACAATGTATAATACCACCCAGCTCTCATAGAACTTTGTATTCCAGAGGCCACACAGAGTCACAGAATGGTTGAGGCTGAAAGGGAATTTTACAGATCATCTAGTCCTACCCTCTGCTCAAGCAAGGTCACCTACAGCAGGTTGCCCAGGATTGTGTCCAGACAGCTTTTGAATATCTCCAAGGACGGAGACTTCACAACCTCTCCAGGCAACCTGTTCCAGTGCTCAGTCACCCTCACAGTCAAAAAGTTTTTCCTTATGTTCAGATGGAGCTTCCTTTGTTTCAGTTTGTGCCTATTGCCTCTCATCCGATCACTGGGCACCACTGAAAAGAGTCTGGCCCCATCCTCTTGACACCCTTCCTTCAGATATTTAAAGCATTGATAAGATTCCTCCTCCTGTCTTTTCTCCAGGCAGTCTCCTCAAGGCATCCATCTTGGAGATAAAAATCAATATCATCTTAGAAAATTGGCAATGGGGCACAAAGAAATGATGCAAATTGCCAAGGTTAGTTGCAGAACTGAAAAAAAGAATCTCTCTTTGGGCTAGAACAAGCTCTAGCCCAAAGGTAACATTGATGTATTTAGATTATAGGATCACCTCCAAAAAAAAAAAAAGGTCAAACCTCATATGATCTTCATTAATAAAATTCTGGACCATCTAAATTGGAAATGTAGCCAAATCAGAAATCTTACTGTTAACTTTGTCTAGTCAGAGCATGAAAATTACTTCTGAGACTTTTGTCTACAATCAGTTGTTAACTAATAACCTGAACTTTTAAGTTAACTGCCAGTTGTTTAGGAGAAAATATGTTGCAAATTTGCCATTTACCTTTCAAGATATGCAGAGGAGGAAGGTGAAACTATAAATCTGAAAAGCAAAATGACAGATTCCCCCCCCCCCAAACTCACCTGGCCTTCAATTTATATTTTATTTCCAAGTGGGTCTCCCTTATTTTTACAGGAAAAATATGTAAGCTGAAACTGGCATAATAGATATTTAAACACAGGATCCATGAACAACTCTTCTTAACTCTAGTCAGTAAGGATTATTTTCTTTTTCTTTTGTGTTTCTATCCTTCATATGATCTTCTCTGAAATGTCCTATAATCACAGAATCACAGAATCATTTAGGTTGGAAGGGACCTCTGGAGATCATCTAGACCAACCTCCCTGTTCAAGCAGGGTCACCTAGAGCATATTGCCCAGGATCACATCCAGACGGCTTTTGAATATCTCCAGGGAAGGAGACTCCACTACCTCTGGGCAACCTGATGCAATGCTCTGTCACCCTCATAATGAGATGGGTCAACTGAAATAAATTCAGAGGAAAACAGCTAATAAATTCTGAACAAACTAAAAGCAAGCATGAGCTGCAGGAACAAATATCAGTAAAGTCTTGGCAGTCGGGGTAGAATTGATTTGGGAAACAGTGCTAGAGTCTCCATTTTCTTCTGACTGCAAAAGCATTGAGAGCACATTGACCATTAAACACAGACTAGATTCTTGGTGAACTGTTTCTCACTTGCTTATAGGGTGCAGGTTCTTTCAGCACCAGGTGAAACCCCAAGAAGAATCTTGTCCTACTCAAAGCCTTGATACAAAGCTGAAGTGCAACTACTCTTTCAGAATAAGCCTAACCATTTACTTAACTTCCACACAGTTGCAAGCTTTTTTGCAAACCACTGCATCCCATATTTCTGAGGAAATCATGGCCAGCAAGCTTCAGCTGTGTCCTTGTGAAGGGCACTCGCACATTGCCAGTCACTCACTACAGTATGCAGCTGTAAAAATCGGGAGGTCTCACCCCTACTCTTGTCAGGGGATCCTTTGTATGGACCCTTTGAATTCATTGTACTGACTGCAGAAATACGTTAGGGATAGGCTTTCTTCCAGAAAATAATAAAAGGCATTTTTGTGAGCAATAGAATCAACAGACTCTGATTTCCTATGGCCTGGAATCTCATGCTTGTGAGAGGAAAAAAGGATTTGTTGATTTGTAGGAAGGGAAGAATTTGCACACAACCGTTCTCTGAGGGGGCTTATTCGCTTGCTTGCTTGCTTGCTTTCCCCTCTTATCTCTTTCTGGAGAACTCACAGGAACTTTTTAAAACTTCATCAAGTTTAGCTGGAACTGGCCAGTTTGTTAAAAAGTTCCTGGTGAAGAGGAAGGAAGATACTCCCCATCACTGCTGAAGGCTTATCTCCTAAGAAATTAGGTTAGCATGATTCCCAGAAAAAGAACGAGAAGGGTCAGGTGAGGGACAGCAGTACCAACAGAGATTCATGGGACACTAAGGTATCATGGGTGTTTCTCCATCTTTGGGGTTCCTACTGGGGATAACATAGTTTTAAAAAATTCTGAGAGCAAAAATCCAACAAAAAGTAGCTAGTGAGGGAGTAAATGCTATATCACCTGTAGGGGGTGGAGGGGGCAGAGGTAGTCAAATTTGGAACCTGCTTATTAACTACTTTTATGTAAGTGCAAAATGAAAAACCAAATAGGACAGTTTCTAATAATGCAATATTACTACTCAAACTCTGCAAGTGGCTAACTTACAAGGTAAACGTACCTTTCTATGACCATCAAAATATCTTTGAGCAAAGAGGTTCCTAACAAGGGTCACCCTTTAAATTACAGTAAAGGAAAAGTCCAGATCTCTCAATACAGTTTTATAACTAAAATGCTCTGTACCTTGCTCCTCCTTTTCTTTTTTCTTTTTTCCCCAGTAACTTTTAGAATATGGAATAGCAAATCCAAGTCATTAGTATTTGAATTGAAATTCTACTTCTTAAGCCGTTGAAGATCCTCAAAGCTTTATCTCTGTTTTACATGAACTCTCACCTTCCTCATTTCACCATTTCATTGTGTCAAGTTACCCTTTAATATCCTGGTTAAACATTCTTAGTTACATCCTAGAATTCCGGGAACTCATCATAAATTCTTCCTGCTCTGCATTTACGGTTAAACCCTACTACCTTTTCCTGCAATTTGTCTCACCTGATAACACTGAAAATGAGATAATCATAACTTAGACTGAGCAAACAGCTTGCTTTAGATAACATCCTATTTTGTCCACTGAAGGAATTCACAAAATCTTTTTTTTTCGGAATCATAATTGAACACAGGCAGTCACTGACAGCCAAAGTTAACCTTTTGTATCAGGGTTTATTCTTTTATTTTCTTCCCTTTCTATTTTTGTCAAGGTCCTTTCTAAACGCACACATCCATTGTAGCTTAAGGTCAAGGTGCAAAAGTGTCTTTTACTTTCTCCCCACTACTTGTAGGTGCCACTGTGGCCTTTCTAAGGTAAATCAACAAATAAATGAATAAATTCACTTCAACAACACTACAAGCAAGGAGAAACCTAATAGGCAGCAGCAAGCATGCTGATGCTGTAGCAAGTGAGATGGCTTGACATGTTTTCATGGAGAATATCTTATCTTTAGCTGGCTGTTAAAATGGCTTTCTATAACACATACAGTTAACGATTTTAGGTTTAAGTTCAACAAATCTCCCAAGATCACAAAGTACACTAATCTTATGAACAAGGAGGGAGCAGCTGAAATTCAAATGCAAGAAACAGCAAATGGCAAGAAAAGGTTCAAAGGGGAATAAAGCAATAAAAAATAAGAAGAATACTGACCCCCTTCCCTCTTCTCTTCTCTACTCCGGTGAACTGAAACAGCTTCCACCAGTGAAAGGGCCTGGACAAACAAAGTCCCAGAAAAACGATTCGAGTAGAGGAGAATGTGTGTTGCCAGGCCAGTGTCAGAGCTTGTGTTGCCAACTTTGGGGTCTGCAGGAATTAATTCTTTCAGGCACACGGGCAAGCTTCTCTTCTGCAGTGAGCAAGCAGCCATTTCTGTCCCATAAGCAGATACTCCCCAAGGCATCAATGGAGCAATTCCAGAAGTCAAAAAGTTTATTTCAAATAATTTTTCAAATAATTATTTACCTCAACATGCTTTAAGAGCTGTTTTCTAAAGAGATGGCAGATTTAAGAGTAAATAGTGATTGGGGAGTTTTAGAAAAAAGGTTAGCTTAAAAAAAAAGAGAGAATTTCTGTCCCATAAGCAGATACTCCCCAAGGCATCAATGGAGCAATTCCAGAAGTCAAAAAGTTTATTTCAAATAATTTTTCAAATAATTATTTACCTCAACATGCTTTAAGAGCTGTTTTCTAAAGAGATGGCAGATTTAAGAGTAAATAGTGATTGGGGAGTTTTAGAAAAAAGGTTAGCTTAAAAAAAAAGAGAGAGAGAGAGAGAGAGAAAGAGAGAGAGAGAGAGAAAGAGAGAGAGAGAGAGA